AGACAGCTGATGAAGAGTTGGAGTGACCTCCACGTCAGATTTTCACTGGAGTCATGTGTAATGATACTGAGCAGGGGTTTTGGCCAACTTTGCTTCCTCTCTGTCTCAAGTTTTTGTCTTTAACAGCCTATGGATAACCTCAGACTGGATCCACCCATTTTCACAAAATTACATATTTGGAGTTGCTGCTCAGCCCAGAACAAGGCAAGCAACAGGACCAGGATTACGGTGAAGAGAAAAAGAGTCATGTAGGGAACAAAATGTAAGGAAGCACTCACTCTCAGGGTCACACAAGTGTGTATTAGGCATCTCCCCTGCTTCACCTTATACCTGGCCCTGGTGAGCAAACTTCAGCAGAGTAAGGGGGTCACTGTGGGAGTGAAAGAGGTGGAATGGAGGAAAAGGAGATTTGGAGAATTTATTCCTGTCCTCAAATATGTGAAAAGGCTTCATGGGACAGATGGAGTAGATTTATTTGATGTTATTCCAGAAGGCAAAATTTGGGCCAATAAGTAGACCTATTTCAGCTTTAAAAAAATACAGTCAATGGTCAGGCATGGTGGCTCACACCTGTAAGCCTAGCACATTGGGAGGCAGAGGCAGAAGGATTGCTTGAGGCCAAGTTCGAGGCCAACCTGTGCAACATAGTGAGACCCCCACATCTAATATTTTTAAATGCAATAATCGTACACCAAGGGTTAATATGTATAGAACACTGCACTACATACTTTATACAATAGTGTCATTCATCCTCATAGCTCTAAGATCTATGTTAACATTGCTGTTATGCAGATAAGAAAAGTGAGGATTAGATAGGTCTAGGGTCACTGAGCTGCTAAGTGGCAGAACGTGGCTGAAAATCCCACCCAGACTGCTGCTTTGAAACCTAGGCTCTTAATCATAACATCAATTTATTTTCTATCAAATATGTAAAAATTAAATTGAAATGTTACATTTAAGCAGAAGGAAGTTAGAACAATGACCCCTAAGGTGTGCTGCCAGACCAGTGTGGCAGGAGGGGTTTGCAGTGTGCTGAAATATTAGTACCCTTTAGCTCCAGAGCTCACCAGCCTGTAGCATTAAGAATCTAGGGTTGCTTGGTCTACCCCAGCAAGCATACAAATATTCAGTGCCCGTGGGCGCCATGATGTCAGAAAAAAAGGAGGGGTGGTCCAGAAACACTAAGAGAAAATACTAAGAGATCTTATTATTTTGTTGTTGGTGATTTTTTTTGTTGTTGTTGTTTTTATTCTATTAACATTACTATAGATGTAGGTTCCTGATCCTTTACCCCAGCAACAGGGCAGAATTAGTGGGGATGCTTTTAAAACACACTGATTGGTGGGGAGGGACCGGCAGTAGTGGAAATCTGCCGGGAGAGGGGGTCATATCAACAAGGGTACCTGCATAATGAACATTTGTATACCTAACCCTAAATTGTACCCCATATCTTTAAAGTAAAAAATTTTAATAAAAAATAAATAAAATAAAGTTGTGGGACTGAACACACACACACACACACACACACACACACACACACACACACACACTGATTAGGCCAAGCTCAGTAGCTCAAGCCTTGTATTCCTAGCACTCTGGGAGGCTGAGACAAGAGGACTGCTTTTAGCCCAAGAGTTTGAGAACAACCTGGGCAACATAATGAGCCCTCGTCTCTACAAAAATAAAAATAAAAAAAATTAGGCAGGCATGGTGTCATGCACCAGTAGTCCCAGTTACTCTGGAGCTTGAGGCAGAAGGATCGCCTGCGCTCAGGAGGTAGAGGATGCAGTGAGCTAGGATCCAGACTCTGACAAAAAACAAAAAACAAGACAAAACAACAACAAAAACCACTTATGCCTAAGCCCTGCTCCAGCTAATTACATCAGAATTTATGGGAGTGGGCCCCAGGTATCCAGGCAACTTTATTATATAATGCTCAGAAGAAGTAGAAAAAAAAATTAAGTGATGTATAAAAAATGTGCTTTTCTACCAAGCAGATTACTAGCTACGAAGCATGAATTATAGCACAGTAATCTGAGCAAACTGCATTTAAGAACCTCTGACCTCCTAAAGTTTTTCACCAAATTATAAATCATGTTCCAACTGTTACTCTTTTGGATCAAAGGATCTTGAATAGCACTGCAGTTACAAAACCAATTTAGTGATGTTTACTTGCACTCTGTTTGGTAGATGATGATGGTAACTGCCAAACAAGTTTGAAGGGAGGAGAGTTAGCTACCCCCACACCACCTTGATACGAGTTATAATGAAAGCAAATTTTGGACTAAATTCTGCATACACATTATTAAACAGACACACACTGGCAAGGAGGTAAAAATAGTGTGTCAGCCTGTTTCATGAACTCAGTGAGGTCCCAATCCACCTTGTATGCAAGGCTCTCTAAATCAGGTAGCATCAATCCCTGGCAGGTGCAGTGCCCTGTAGGAGATATACTCCATCAAAACTCACCTGAACCAAAGACTGGACACTCCACTGATTTGAGTCAAGTCTCAGACCTCATCCTAATGTTAACTTCATTATTAACCTAGTAGATTCCTATCACCTGTTCATACATGCGAAGGCAAAAAAGTGTCTCTGAACTATTTTAGCCAATCCACATATTTAAAATGACTATAATTTCACCAGTGAGGTTCCACTTCTAATATTTATTATGTTAATTTAGGAGTTACTGATTTACCAATAAAACCCATTTTGACATTGACAATGCTGCCAAAGCTTCTGTTGTTATAGAGAAATCGATCCTTGAAGAACTTGAAGTGGCCAAGAGTGTGGCCCTTTCTGATATAATGCTAGCTGGCCATTCAACCAGTAACAAGCAGACCAGCTATCTCTAAAAATAAAACTTCAACTGCACATACATTATGTCACTGATTATAATATAATCAACTGCACATACATTATGTCACTGATTATAATATAAATTACAGCCAGCCATTCTAGCAATGGCATTGTGTAGCATAGGGATAATTTAGTACTGAGCATATTGGGCTTTATTTTACTATGTGGGTAAAAATATTTCTTAATGGTTAGTCAGAAACTGTGTATACAAAAAATTATTTGGTTTATTTGGAAGATGCTGATATTGACAGTGTTTCCATGGCTCTAAGACCTAATTGTTTCCATAGTTTAAATTACAGATGACCTCACGTTAACCAGACTCTTCTTACTACTTGTAGGACCAGGACTGGGCTAACACCAGTGAAACTTCCAAGAATAAAGAATTAATGGCCTTAAAAAAAAAAAACAGTTGGCTAATTGCACTTGATACTTACACCTGTAACTTACTGGATTTAAGAAAGTTATATTGGTGGTCTTAATTAGCATTGTTTTTAAATTTGTTTGTCTTTATTCATAAAGTTGACTTGTGATACACTTCAGTGCATTACCAAGTGGAGACCATTTCTGAAAAAAGTCAATAAAACTCACATTATTTTACACCTTTGTCTCTGACAGCAAAACATTTTTACTATTTCCTAGAAACAGATGTTCATTTTTTTCAGATTTTTTAAACCAATATGTACTGGGCAACTACTATAGACAAAGCTGCATATATCCAAATAGATGACAAAGATGACAAATAGATGACAAAGGAAAAAAAATTCCTTGAAAGACCCTAAGCAAATGTCAGAGTACATATCAAACTGAAGAGGAAGGGTGGAGTAACAGAATGACCAATAACTTTTTAGCAAGCCATAATGGCATGGTCTTTCCTGAGAAATTGCCATTTAATAACTTCCCAAAATATTTTCAGACATAAATAGAAACCAGTGTTTAGCTCTAAAACAGTTCATAATACAGACAAAGGTTATATGCAACAGCAGAGAAAAATGAAACAACCTTTTTACTGTCGATAATAAGTAGGCATAAATGTATCTAGTACACTTTTATGGGAAGAGGCAGAGTTTTCAAAGTCAGCTTCCAGAGATATCATTCCTTTCCTGCATTAAATAATGGCAGCATCATTTAGAATGAGCTAAATTTTCGCAAGGTTTCATTATGACTAAAGAAGCCCGACTTGAGGATGTAAATGCTCAGGTAGGCAGAGTCCTGTATGACCACTTCTATTTCTGGTCTTTCATTGACCTGGCATTACAAGTTCTCACTGGGTTTTCATATGTGCCACTGGTGCTGTTTAGATCTGTTCCTATAGAGAGGGCTGCATACTGAAGAAGCTAATTAACTCTGGCAAAGAACAAAGGGTTCAAGGTGCAACATTAGCACCAAGAGTCATTACTGACTCAAAGTCCTTTGAGTGTACCAAAAGTCAGTGATAGAAAACTTAATATCTAATTCCTCAAACAATTTTTTTTTAAGATCCCAACTGTAGGATATCCAACTAACGTTTTCAACAGCTGAGGAGCAAGGTAAACCAGAACAAACTATAATATGCTTCACTGAAAATGTGCATGCAAGTTAAAATGTGTAATTTAGTATACAAGCTTACAACTTAAAACTTGAAGGTTAGTATTGCAGTCAGCAGGATTGGACTAGGGAGAGATGAGCCAGGAATAAAATTTAAGAGGGTGCCAGAAAATTCAGTAACCAAGATAAATAATATTTTAATGCAATATTTTTAAAACTCAAAATCTATCTATGAAGAACAAAATATCACATTTTTAAAAAGAATTTTAAATAAAGAAGTGTACAGAACAATATAAGAACTGGAGGCAAAAGAAATCAATCAAAACTGATCTTGTCTTTACTTAAAATGTTAATATTTTGTCCTTTAAATATTGTATTAAAACATTGTTCATCTTCCTTACTGAGATTTTTGGCGTCCCTTTATATTTTGCCATCAAGGTGAGTGTCTTGCTCAGCTTATCCAAATCACAGCCCTAGGGATCACTACGAGTTCCTAGAAAGGCTGTAGAAGCAAACCTGGCCGCCTGGGGGAGCGGAGCGTGGCGAGCCGCCTGTCCCCAGGGGAAAGACCGGGCAGGTGGGCGAGAGCGCACCTGAGGGCCAGACCCGGCGCCTACCTCGCTTGTTCCGCGTCCCATGCTTCTTGGCCAGGGCGAGTTCTCTCTGGATTCGATTTTCCAAGTACTCTTGTTTCTTGCCCAGCATCTCCTCTGTCTCCCGAAGTCGGGCCAGGGCCTCCTGGGGACTGGGAGCTGCTCGGCTCTTAGAAGAGCCTCCCCCTTTAAAGAACTTGCCCAACTTGCTCATGGCTGCGGGGCTGGAGGGCGACCGGTCCCGGGGGCGTCGCAGGAGCTCCCCGGGCCCGCGACTGGAGAACAGGTGAGCAAGACAGTCCCCGCGGAGACCCAGACCGAGAAGGCGGCGCTCCCGGGAATCAACAAGTTGTCGGGGGCAGGTGACACACGCTCCTGGGCATTTCCTGGCCGCCTGCTCGGCTCCGCCCCTCGGCGCGGCTGCCAGGCGGGGAGGGCACCCGAGTCGGACGTCGGCCGGCCGGCGCCACCCGGCCCTCTGGGAGTCGATGGAGAGCTCAGAAAAGTTGGAGCGGCAGGGAAAAGAGCGCAGCAAAGTTGCTGCTTTATCCCCACTAGGGACACACCCAGGGATGAAAAACTGGTCGGAGAAAAGCAAACCAACGTCCAGAGGTCTCGTGTGGGCGTGAAAGCATGTGTGCTTTGCCTGGCTGGATATGCACAATGCGGTATTCCATGCTGTGTGTTGTGTGTGTGAGCGTTTGAGCAAAGTGTTCCGGCATTCAGGCCTCTGTTCTCGTGAATAAGAATATTCAGATCTTGTCCTCTGTTTGTATGTTGAGTAGAAATGAGGTGTGGACATGTTGCCCGCCTCTGTGATGCAGGTGTGTGGGCCAGTCAGGAGCAGCTGTTCTGACCGGGTTTGTCTCTGCATTTCTATAGTCTGGTCAGATTGATGTGTGCCTGGCTGCCAGTTGGCATGGGTGGATTCTAGGTCATCCTCTCATAGTTTTTAGTGGGTGAAAGATGGTGGCCAGCTCTTTTCCTAATGTCAGGACGTCTGAATGTGTTTTGTGGTTGCATTCTTTTCCATAAATAGGAATCGGAAGCTTTCGATGTGATTGTCAGTGTATCAAAAACCTTAAATGGGGCTGCCCTTGTGTTTGAATTGATGTCAAATGCCATTACATAGATACCTTTAAAAAGTAGAGAATATTCTAGGGAAAAGAAACATTCTTTTTTCCATGCTCACTATCTCAGGCCCATCTATTAGAGCTATAAGCAAAGAGTTTGGTCAGATGAAAGGACAGCAATATGTAATGATTATGGATGATGTGATACAACTGAAAACCTATGCTGAGCAGGCCACAAAGAAGTGGAATGTGGAACTGTTTATGTTCTAGTTCTCAAAGACTACCATGTACCCTGCATAACATACTCCTATTTGAGCAACGTAACCCAACATCAGAATCTATTTGTGATCATTAGTCAACCACTACTGAAGAGGAAAAAAGCACTGATTACTACAACAAATTTACCTTGATACCCAAGATCAATAACCCAATTTTATCTGCTATCATACAGACACAAAACAGCAAGCTAATCCATTTATTCAACATTAGTATAGCCAACATCAAATTTTGCCAAAGAAATTGAACATTTTCATAGGAGGCTTACTAGTATACATCTTATACACACAAACATAGGAATTTATCATTTACCAGTGAATACAACCAGCCACCTCCTATCATTTTCTCCCTGGTCGTCTAAAGCACTTATGGTCTGTAATACACATTTTGCTCTAATTTCATATGTATTAAAACTGTATTAAGTCATATTACTTTATTGTTTAAATATTTCATGGGTATGTTTTGGAACTTACTTTCTCAGTCAGATTTTAAGCCCCTTGAGAGTTGAGAAGTAGCACATGTGAGACTTCATCTCTACAAAAAATAAAAAATTAGCCAGGCATGGTAGCACGTGCAACTACTTGGAAGGCTGAAGTGGAAGGATTGCTGGAGTCCAGTGGTTTGATGCTGGGGTGGCTGTGAGTGTGCCACTGCCTCCACTCTGGGTGATGGAGTGAGACTCCAACTCCAAAAAAAAAAGAAGTAATACATATTCTGCTATGGCTCCCATTGCTAGTCAGTTTAACCAGTCTTATTGAATGTATTCTATAGATAAAGTACAAGGAATTCAAGTATAGTCTACCCTCGAGAAGCTTACTTTCTAGTGATAGTAGTAACAGCTTCCATATTTTGGGCAACTATGTAGCAGGCATGATACCTGCATACATTGTCAATAATCCTTACATAAACGTCACAAAATAGGTATCACTATTTCTATTTGACAGATATAGAACCCAAGGCTCAAATGACAAGCTAGCCAAATTTACACAGTACACAAAAGTGGAAGAGATTATTTTGTTTTAAAACCCATAGTTTTTTCACTATATTACTTTCTTTCCCTCTGTGTGGCTTGGACCAGAGGAGAAACTCATTTAGTATTTGTTAATTAAACAATATGGAGTGAAGAAGTTGTTATGAGGATTATCTTTAAGGATTTCAACAAGCATTACTGAATTCATGGAGGGGTGTATTTTAAAAGGAGCTTATCCAGAATGCTAAAGCATTCTTATGTGATTCATTAATTCTTTTTTTGTTGGGAGAACATTGGAACATTGAACATTGGAACAGGATTGAAACTCCATCTGCAGTTTCATTCAACAGATTTTTTTTTTTTTT